TCTGCTAGGGCTCCTTGCTAGAGCTGATGCTGGAGGGGAGGAAGGAGGGAAAGAGGGAGGGAGGGGGAGAAGGAAAAGGGAAGGAAAAGAAGGGAAAGAAGGGAAGGAAGAGAGGGAAAAAGGAGGGAGGGAGGAAGGAAAGAAGGAATGGGAAAAAGGAGGGAGGGAAGGAGAATGGATCACTGGTTCTCTGTCAAGAGCTTATAGTTGCATTGAAGAAGCTAGTTTATTTACAAATATCCATTATTAGAAGGCAGAATACATGTAGGTAAGACACACAGATATTAGAGAAAAAAGCAAAATAAGAGAGAGGAAAGAGAGAAAGTAGCCAAATAGAGAAATCAGAGATTGCTATATGGTCACAGAATTGAGAAGACCTTAAATGGAGAGAAAGTATTTAACATATTTACAACATGGGCATAAAGATATAGAAGGAACACTGCAATGTGCAAGTGTACTTGGCAAACACAAGTGTTCTTTAAGGTAAAAATAGAGTCAAAGCAGACTCAAAGGGTCAGCTGTGGTCAGATAATGCAGGTGTGCAAACCTAGGCATATAAGGAGTTTGGCGCTTACCCAAGGTGCTGATATCTAAAGGATAAACACATTCCCCATGACGAAGGAGAGAGTGGGCAGGGGTAATTGTATCTTGGGACTTAGTGTTGATGTGGGAACAAACACATGGTATGAATCACACATATTTCAGGCTGTGCACAGACAATTTATATTAAAACACTCCCAGCAGAAATTCCTATTTTTATGAAAAAGGTTGCCATTGATAAAAAGTGAGTGAGAGACCGTATCAGAAAGCTACTGATTTCACCTTAATCAGAAATGAATGTGAATCCACAGCACAGCAAACATGGGTGATTGGAGCATGTACACATTTCTGCCTTAGACCCAGGGAATACAATACAGCAGACTGCTAAGACAAGGCTGTTACTTCGCTAGGTGGAGGCTGGAGAAAGTCTAAAGGAGGCAAGGAGTTATGTCGCCTCAAGCTTCGCTATTCTTGTCTCAACTTAAAAATCCTTTCTCTACCCCAGAATTCTGCTCATGTATCATTTCAAGCTTTTTTACAAAAGCTTCCTTTTTTCTTTATCTTTCCTTTTTTTGAGGCGGAGTCTCGCTCTGTCACCCAGGCTAGAGTGCAGCGGCTCACTCTCAGCTCACTGCAACTTTCACCTCCTGGGTTCAAGTGATTCTCCTGCCTCAGCCTCCTGAGTAGCTGGGACTACAGGTGCATGCCATCACACCCTGCTAATTTTTTATATTTTTAGTAGAGATGGGGTTGCACCACGTTAGTCAGGATGATCTCAATCTCCTGACCTTGTGATCTGCCCACCTTTGCCTCTCAAAGTGCTGAGATTACAGGTGTGAGCCACCATGCCCGACTAAAATGTTCCTTTTTTCAAAGAATATTCAGAGTCAAGTGGTAACCAAATGTCTATTGTTTACTCGGTGACAGTTCAGTCCCTCATATTAAAGAAATGAGACCAAAAAAGATAAGGAAAAGTTGAATTAGTCACTTCCAACTTCCCTTTCCACCTCTCCCATGTTTCAATGCGAATGTTCTTCCTTATGGGATAGGTCCACTTAAGCCAGGTGTACAGGCTCTATTGTCAGCTTCGAACTCTTTCAGTGCCAAAAAGAATGCCACCTGTTGTTCAAACTTAAAGTAAACTATGTGTCTAACCAGGTTAAGATAGAAAGGGTTAAACCAGATGTGATGTCTAACCAAGCCATATACTCTTAGTTCTAGTGTTGTCTTATGAAATAGGGGGGTAATACTGTCAACCCGGCAAGGACATTTTGGAGACCAGGTGAAATAAGGTGGTAGAAATTGTGTGTCCATTAGAATGCTAAGCGTATGGTAAGTCTTCTGCACATATTTGCTGGTGGTATGTTGTATTAAAAAAGAGGATTATAAGATCATACTTGGTGTGCTACAGAACACTTTGCAGCTATTAAATAAAAAGTCTTGGTCTCAGATAAAGCTAGATTTTAGTGGACAAAGACACGTCATAAAATAAGAAAATACTGGAGTTTTGAAAGGAAGCTAGCAACCTTTGAGGACAGAAGCACCCTAGATATCAATGAACATAAGATTTCTTTAAACCCACTCCTAGATTTACCAAATCTAAACCTTTGAATGTAGGGCCTAGTAATCTGCATTTAACAAACCCACCAGCCTAACCCAAATTCTTGTCCATGCTAAATTTGAAATCCACTGGCCTAGAATTTGGTTGCCTGTTGCTAATCCAAGTGCTAACAATAACTGGAACAATTTAATTAAAATCCCACAACTCTGAACACATTTAAGGAGAATTCTTTACTAACGTATTCTAACCCAATTCCAGGGGACAGGAAAATACTTTTCTCTCATTTGACAGTTTCTATGTTCTCACCCACAGTGCCAACAGAGCAAACACAATCTACTTCACTTCTCCTCATCTGCAGAAATTGGCAAAGACAATTACCACCTCAAAGGAGTGCTGTGAGCTTCCATTTATTGCTGTTTATAAAGCATTCTGAGTGTTCTGATAAATCAACTATAAGTTGGCATTATTCATAGCACCCTATTGGAGCTTAATACATATTCAATTAAAAAACAATGACAACAATACAGCAATATCCACAAATTAGCATTAATTATAGCAATGCATTATTCTCACCCTACTGCTACAATTTTATCTAGACAGAGCTGTTTATGTCTGGAGACTGTACAGTCCCTCTCATTAACAAAGGGCAATATTTGCTCATCAGTATCAACATTTCCGCTAGTAACATTCACATCACACTTGCCTCAGAGACATGATTTTTTTCAAAGGATATTTCTACTTAGCACATACTAGGACAGGAAGGATATGTACTTCCCTTGAAGAAAGTCAGACGACTCCTGCAAAGCATCCTGGACTCTTCTCTTTCCCATAAGCCCCTCTTTCCAAATTGCTTTTGATTCTTGTTCCCCTTCTCCATGGTCATGGCCATCACCTTGGCTAAGGCCCTCATCGGCCCCAAGTTTGGACCCTTGAACTTGACCCGAAGACATTCTATCATTGCCATTTCTGATCACTTCAGTACCACTGTATTATAGCAATCCATCTAAATACAGATCAAATCATTTTACTAGGAGAAGGTTCTTTACTGTCCCCTAATGATATTGCCTTAGATTGGAAAAATTCCCCAAATGCCATCGTAATTGCTAAAGAGAAATTATTTACTTGCATTGGGGAAGTAGCTATTAAAGCACTCAGGGAAACTTTTACCAAGGAGAGAAACTAAAGCAACAGGAAAAGCTTAAGCAAAAAGCTGCAATGCTATGGGTCTCTTTATCTACCTAGTTCAGGTTTCAGCCTTTTCCAGGGGACAAGGATCTGGTAGTTGGCCAGGTTCCCCACCGAATATGAAAGAACAGCAACATTCCCTTCCCTGCCTTCCCATCCCCTGACCCGCCCCACGTTTCTCTGTGGCATCAGAGCATATCTTGCTATACAAGGTTGTGCTGACTTGGGTCTCCTGTTCTGCATGAGCCTCTGACACGCATAGTTGAGGTTGAGGAATCTGTGCCTAGTGGGTTTGAGGTTTCATCAAGAGAAAAACGGGAAACTTATGTGATTTCACTGAGTAACTATTTTCACTACAAAAAAAAAAAATTCCCATATTTATTTTTTCCCCCTTTTGAAATGGCACTAAGGAAACACATGCCAGACTGCCATGAACAGAGGCTGTACTTTCCAAACAGTAGCAAGGACTAAAAATAGAAAAGCTTGATTTGCTCAAGATGTATATAACTTCCTCTCCCATTTCCTTTCCCCACCACCCTGAGTCAGTACACAGAAGCAGTGCATGTTGAACCCTTTGCATGCTGACAACAGTGTCAAAAGCATCAAAAGGGTGCTTTTGATAAGTATAGTACAGACTTCCTAAGTCCTTTCCCAGAGAATTTCTATTGCCCATTCAAATAAAGAATGAATCGATCAAGCCTCAAATACCAACGAAGTAGCTATTCTATCTTCTTGCAATAAAATAAAGGTTATGGGTGATACAGAAATATGAGTTGTGATCCTGCCTTCAGGCAGTTGCTAAAAGAAATGAACAAGAAGGTAATGGAAACACCAGAGGTCTGGGAGTCCAGAAACCTCTAATAGTGGTTAGGGCCAGTTCTCCTACTAACTGGGTCACCTTGAACAGTTCACTTAAGAAACTTAGGCTCCAGTTTCCTCATCACAAGAAAGAGCAGGTGGGTTAGGACCATGTCAAATCTGGTGCTCTATGACTTGTGATTTTATGTAATTTCTAAAGTTCTCCCACATTATGATTCTGGCTTTATAAAATAAAGTTTGGTGGCAAGATTATTGTACAGGCAATGATTACATTACTCCACAAAAGGGCATACATTAATTGGCAGAAAAATCAACCAGCATTAACAAATTTATTTATTAACTGACTCATAGTAAGCCTTTACTCTGAACCAGAAATTGTTGGATACTCTACATTCATTATCTCAATTAATCCCCAAAATAACCTTCTAAGAAACTGCTATTTGCATGTAAAGATAGATGGGAAATGCAGTGGTAAGTGACCTAGCAGGGCATTTTAACCCTAAATCCTGGGCTCATGTCACCATATCACATGACTCAATCAAAAGACTCAGGAGGCAAAAAAGAGAGAGACTCATATGATCCAGTTGTCAGACACATACGAGTAAATAGTAAAGTTAGGCCTTCAAAAATGAGGATGTGTCAGGTATCAAGAAAGACATAAGAAAAATTAGCTTGGCATATGAAGCTGACAATGAGGACATAAGCTTCAAAAGAGCAAGGACTGTATAAAAAGCACAGCGGGAAATAAGGTGTGCTATATAAGATGAGGTAAGTCATAGAGTTCTCTGAAAAGTAAATCAAGAGGAGAAATTTAATGTGGCATACAATAAAAAGACAGAGGAAGCACATTTTAACCACTAATTGGTTATAGATATGCAGTTGGAATGTAAAAAAGATAGAATCAAGGCAATGAGTAGGTTGTAACCCAGAAGACATGAACTAGGACAATGGGCAAGAAAATACAGAGATTGAAATAATCCTGTAAACCTTGGTGATAGACATACAAAGAAAGCAAGATGTATCATCAACGAACACAGTTTAGCTGGCAAGACTAGAAAATATAATGGCATCTCTAATAGAATGTAAGCCTTTGAGCAAGATGATGAGTAGACTTAGGGACACATCAAAAGTGAAAAGGCAGGTGTTATCTACAAAAAGATCTCAAGGATAAATGAAAGAAAACTTGTCAAAGGAAAACACAATACCAAGTCATAAGCATTTGAAGTAATTAGATAAAGAAAGACCAAAGTTGATCCCATTAGAGTTGTGACATCTACTGAAAGAAAACAGAAGGTCAAATGGAAAACTCTGAGTGGCCATGTAAATTTAGAGACAAGAAGAAAGGAAGAGGAGCTGGTAAATAAGGGAGAAAAGGAATGGTTGCAGGCACACGGAGGAATCAAGGAAATTCTGTTCAGTAAAAATCAAAAGGAAGTTAAAGGGATTCGGAGAATATGGCAAAGCAGGAAGCACCATAAATCTGTCTTTCAACACCCATTGCACTGGCGCCATCTAAGAAGTTATTTTGGAAGTCAAGAGTCTATTAAAGGCATCTAATTTCTGGAGGGAAGGCTTAGATGGTAAGTTGTGGGTAATTAGGGTAAATTTTGTATCTTAGCACAATAGCAGCTACCTATAGCCCACTTCTTAGATTCTTGGCAGGCATCTGTGCACATGTTCTTGAAGCAGCTTGCATATAACTCACCTGATCCAAGCTGGGCATAAAGGACCCGTCTTCCATATATAAGGGATCTGTGCATTAATTGCTGCTTCTAATCACACATATAAAGAAAAAGGGGCAACTATCATTAGTGTTGCCCCTCCTACTCCAGCTGAAGTGTCTTACATGGGACTCAAAAGGCCAGTACTTTTTCTTTTTTTTCCTTTCTTCATTTTTATTTTTTTACTTTTTCTCATTTTGGGAGACAGACATTGATGACCAGGGCATTTGAAAACAATAGGGGAAATTAGAAAGTCACTGCACATAACCAGGGAAAGATACAGGCTCAGAAAATAATTAAGATCATAGGTTTACAAAAAAGCTAATACTTAGCACAGAGACAGGCAATGATAACCCCACAAAACAAAAACAACAGTAAACCTTGGGGAAGATAAAGAGTCTGATTTCCTGAGTTACTATATTATTAGATTCAAATGTGCGCTTTTCAACAACAACAAAAAAATCAAAAGACATACAAAGAAACAGGATAGCCTGGTCTGTTCAAAGCAAAAATATAAACCAACAGAAACTGTCTCTAAAAAAGACCTGATGGTGGATCTACCTGACCAAGACTTAAAAACTACTGTCTTAAAAGCGCTCAAAGAACTGAAGGAAGCAAGGAGAAAGTTAAGAAAACAATGCATGAATAAAATGGGAATATCAATACAGTAAAAGAAAAAAAAAACAAAAAGCAATTGTGGAAATGAAAACTACAATAACTAAAATAAAAAATTCATTAGAGGAACGAAAAGGCAGATTGAGAAGACAAAAGAAAGAATCAGAAAACTTGAAGAGAGGTCAAAGTAAATTAATAAGTCTAAGAATCAGAAAGAATAAAGACTGAAGACAGGTGAACTGAACCTAAGAGACCTGTGGGACACAGTCAAGTATACTAAAGTATGCCTTATGCGATTCCCAGAAGGATGAGACAGAGATAAAAGGCAGGGACGATACTTGAAGAAATAATGGCCAAAAAAATCCCCAAATTTGATCAAAGACAAGAGTATAAACATCCAAAAAGCTCAAAAAGTACAAGACGAATTCAAACACTGAGGCACCTTATAATTAAACTGTCAAAAAACAAAGACAATGACAGAATTTTGAAAGTTGCAAGAGAGGTAACTCATCATATACAAGGGAGCCTCAAGAAAATTATCCAGTTTTCTTCTCAGCAGCTTTAGATGCCAAAAAACAGTGGGCCGGTATATTCAAAGTACGAAAAGAAAAAAAAAAAAAAATCAAACAAGAATCCTATATCTGGCAAAAATTTCTTTTAAAAGTGAGAAAGAAAAACAAAATTTTGCCAGGGGTTAAAAAAAAAAAAAAAAGTGAGAAAGTTCTTTATTACCATTAGACCTGTCCTGCAAGAAATGCTAACAGGAGACCTGCAGGTTGAAGTGATATGATACCACACAGTAACTCAAAACCATACCAAGAAATACAGCTCTCAGTAAAGACAAGTAGGTAAACACTTATAAAAGCTAATCTCATTGCAATCATAATGTGTAACTTTGCTTTTTGTTTTCAACATGATTTAAGAAACTAATAATTTTTTAAATTACAAACTTAAAATTTCATATTATTTGATAATTTGATTAGTGACTCCATTTGGCTTTCTACATAATTTAAGAAATGGGTGCATTAAATTATTAGCTTATATTGTTGTATATACAATGCATAAAGAAATAATTTTGTTACATCAACAACTGAAAAAGCAACAGAATTTTGTATGTTATCTGTGTCAAGTTGGTACAACTTCAAGTTAGAGTGTTACAACTTTAAGATATTAAATGTAATCCCCATTGTAACCACAAAGAAAATAGCTACAGAATATACACAAAAGGAAATCAAGTAGGAATTTAAATATTTTACTAAAAAAAAAAACAACTGAATATAGAAAAAACAATTATGTAGGAAATTAAGGACAAAAAAGCTATAAAGCATATAAAAAGCAAATATAAATGGTTTTATAATCATAAATTTTACAACGATTTGACTTATTTTGGACCTTACGATGGTGTGAAAGTGATACACATTCATTAAACACCATACTTGAAATATCCATTCTGTCTTTTACTTTCAGTGGAGAATACAATAAATTACATAAGACAGTTAAAGCTTTATTATAAAATAAGCTTTGTGTTAGATGATTTTGCCCACCGTCTGCTACTGTAAGTGTTCTGAGTATGTTTAAAGCAGGTTAAGGTATTATGAATAATGCTGCTATGAACACTGTTGTACAAATATCTGTTCCACTCCCTGCTTTTAATTATTTTGTGTTTGTATCCAGAAGTAGAATTTCTGGATCATATGATAATTCTGTTTAATGTTTTGAGGGTCCGCAACACTATTTTCTACAGTGGCTGTATCATTTTACATTTCTATCAGCAACTCACAAGGGTTCCGATTTGTCCACATTCTCACTAACATTTGGTTATTTTCTGTTTTCCTGAAAACAACCATGTTAATGACTGTGAGATGGTGTCTTCTTGTGGTTTTGATTTTCATTTCCCCGATGATTAGCAATGTTGAGCATCTTTTCATGTGCTTATCCCCATTTCTATATCTTCTTTGAAGAACTGTCTATTCAAGCCCTTTGTTCTTTATTGTGTGTTTGTTTGTTTGTGTGTTTGTTTTGAGATGGAGTCTCCATCTGCTGCCCAGACTGGAGTGCAGTGGTGCAATCTCCACTCATTGCAACCTCTGCCTCCTGGGTTCAAGTGATTCTCCTGCCTCAGCCTCCTGAGTAGCTGGGACTACAGGTGCCCACCACCACACCCGGCTAATTTTTGGATTTTTAGTAGGGACAGGGTTTCACCATGTTGGCCAGGCTGGTCTTGAACTCCTGGTCTCAAGTGATCCACCCGCTTCAGCCTCCCAAAGTGCTAGGATTATAGGCATGAGCCACCATGTACCCAGTCTTTGCCCTTCATTTTAATTGGGTTGCTCATTTTTTGTTGTTGAACTGTAGGAGTTTTTCAATTATTCTAGATACTAATCTGTTATCAGTCACGTAATTTGCTAACAGTTTCTCCCATTATGTGGGTTGCCTTTTTACTCCATTGATAGTATCCTTTGATGTGCCAGTTAGTTGAATGTTTTTCTCCTTTTGGGGGTTTTTTGGGATGAAATCTCATAGTGATCTGCTCACGTAGGCCTCCCAAAGTGCTGGGACTACAGGAGTGAGCTACCGCACATAGCCCGTTGAGTGTTTTAGTCATGAGAAGACGTTGAATTTTGTCCAATAATTTTTCTACATCAATTGCACTGATAGTGTCATTTCCTTCTTTTATTCTTTTAATATGTAGGATTTTTTTTCTCAATGCTGAGTTTTGATTACTCTTTTTTTTCTTTGTTTTTTTTAATTATACTTTAAGTTCTAGGGTACATGTGCAGCTCATGCAGGATTGTTACATAGGCATACACATGCCATGGTGGTTTGCTGCCTCCATCCCCCCATCACCTACATTATGTATTTATCCTAATGTTATCCCTCCCCAATCCCTCCACCCCTGCTATCCCTCCCCTAGTCCCACCCCACACTCTCCAACAGGCCCCAGTGTGTGATGTTCCCCTCCCTGTGTCCATGTGTTCTCATTATTCAACACCCACTTATGAGTGAGAACATGTGGTGTTTGGTTTTCTGTGCTTGTGTCAGCTTGCTGAGAACGATAATTCCCAGCTTCATCCATGTCCCTGCAAAGGACATGAAACCATCCTTTTTTATGGCTGCAGAGTATTCCATGGTGTATATGTGCTACATTTTCTTCATCCATAACAGCCAAAAGGTAAAAACAACCAAAATATCCATGGAATAATTGAGTAGATAAAGAAAATTTAGTATATACACATGATGGGCTATTATTCAGCCTTAAAAAGGAAGTCCTGACACACGCTACAACATGCATAAACCTTTCATGCCCTATGCTAGCTAAGTGAAGTAAACCATCATGTCCTTTGCAGGGACATGGATGAAGCTGGGAATTATCGTTCTCAGCAAGCTGACACAAGCACAGAAAACCAAACACCACATGTTCTCACTCATAAGTGGGTGCTGAATAATGAGAACACATGGACACAGGGAGGGGAACATCACACATTGGGGCCTGTTGGAGAGTGTGGGGTGGGACTAGGGGAGGGATAGCAGGGGTGGAGGGATCAGGGAGGGATAACATTAGGATAAATACCTAACGTAGGTTAAGGGGGGATGGAGGCAGCAAATACAGTGTGATTCCATTTATTTGGAATAGTATAGTCAGATTCATAGAACAGGAGTTTCTGGGTCTGGGTAGAAGTAGAATCAGGGACTTATTGTTTAATGACAACACTGTTTCAGTACAGGATTATTAAAACATTGAGGCTAGTTACTGTTTAATGATTATACTGTTTAAGTACGGGATTATTAAAACATTGAGGCTAGTAGGCACAAGAATTTGAATGTACTTAATGCACTGACATGTACACCTTTAACTGTTGAAATGGCAAAAGAAAAATAGTAAAGTAGGTTAGGCTAAACCGTGATGTTTGGTATGTTAGGTATATTAAATGGTTTTACATTTACAATAATTTCAACTTAACACATGTTTATTGCGACATAACCCTATCACAAGTTAAGGAGCATCTGTAGAAAAATAAGATGTAATTCTCTGCTTATCAATAATTACTTTAAATGTAAATGAATTAAATTATATGGTCAAAAGACAGATTGGCAGAATAAATTAAAACACATAATGTTGCCTACAAGAGACTCATTTTATATCCAAAGACACACAGAGTTTAAAAGTGAAAGGATAGAAAACATTATTTCATACAAACAGTAACTCACAAAAAGGAGAGTAGCAAAATATCACATAAAATAGAGTTTAAGTCAAAAACAAAAAGGCTAAAAGATAAAAGAGATACAGAACATTATACTAATAAAAGGCTCAACACAGCAAGACTATATAACAATTGTAAATGTATATGCATCTAATAAAAGGTCATCAAAATATATAAACCAAAAATTAGCAGAATTGAAGAAAGAAATAGACCATTACATAATAATTCATGTGCCAGGATAGAACATGAATAAGCCCATAAACTGCAACAGATTTGAAAAAGTAGATGTCAAAAGAAGTATGGTCTCTGAGTACAATGGGATAAAGTTAGAAATCAATAGATGTTAAGTAAAACTGCAAAATTCACAAATTTGCAGTAATTAGAAAATATAATCTTAATGGATCCAAGAAGAAATCACAAGGGAAATGGAAAAATACCTAAAAATGAATGAACATGAAAGAAAACATACAAAACGTATTGGAAACAGCGAAAACAGTGCTAATAAGGCAATTTATAGCTATACACCGTTAAATTTAAAGATAAGAAATACGTCAGACCAACAACCTAAATCTACAAATTGTGAAACTTAAAANAAGGCAATTTATAGCTATACACCGTTAAATTTAAAAAAAAAAAAAACGTCAGACCAACAACAAAAAAAAAAAAATAGAAAAACAAAAAAAAAAAAAAAAAAAAAAAAAAAAAAAAACTATACCTAAATCTACAAGAAGGAAAGAAATAATAAAGGTAAGAGTAGAGGACGGGTGTGGTAGCTCATGCTGTAATCCCAGCACTTGGTGGATCACCTGAGGTCAAAAGTTCAAGACCAGCCTGACCAACATGGTGAAACCCCATCTCTACTAATAATACAAAAAAAATAGCGAGGTGTGGTGGCAGAAACCTGTAATCCCAGCTACTTGGGAGGCTGCGGCAGGAGAATAGCTTGGATCTTGGGAGGTAGAGGTTGCAGTGAGCCAAGGTTATGGCATTGCACTCCAGCCCAGGCAACAGAGCAAAACTGTCTCAGAAAATAAATAAATAAATAAATAAATAAATAAATAAATAAAAATGGTAAGAGTAGAAATAAGTAGAATGGAAATTAGAAAAATAATGGAGAAATACTGACAAAAACTAATCATTCTTCAAAAAGATCAAGAAAATTGACAAACCTTTATCTAGATGAAGAAAGACAGAGAGAGGGAAGACTCAAACTATGAAAGACAGAAATAAAAGTAGAGACATTACTAACAATTCTACAGAAATAAAAAGGATTTAAGAGAGTACTATGAGTAAATGTGTGGCAACAAATTGGATAACCCAGGTGACATGGAAATTTTCCAAGAAACAAAAAATGCGCCAAGACTAAACCACAAATAAAAAATCTGAATATGCTATAAATACTAA